CTTATAATTTCGCTGCACGTCAGTTTAAGAAAATTGTTATGACATGGTTTTGTAGAGAATTCAATAAGGAATCTCTTGGAAAAAAATTTGGATCGATAGGATAAAAGCCGGCGGAGTTATATTCAAATACGGGAGTGCGTTTATTTATGCGCCACCCGTTAGATATTTATTAATATTTTTAAATTTAAACAGAATTTCAACTTTTGCATCTTATATGACTCTTTAAAGAAATTGACTGCCATATTTTTGTCATTATTGACAGGATTATCATACAGATTCCAACGAATACATGACATAAATATAGTAATTTTGTCTGAAAAATGGAATCGATCATGATAACCATTTATTTTTTCAGCTTTTGTTCATTGTTTATTAACATGTTTCCATTTTATCTATTTTAGAGATCATACACCTTTTTTTCTACGAATTTATTGTGAACAGTTTTATTTGCTCAAATAATGAATATTCGTCGTACACAAACGTATATGTAGGTGTTTTTTAATTCTTGGAAACTGAAGATAATCAATATTATGTTTTATATATTTCTTTCTACTAGTACTTATAATCCTACGTCTGATTCAAACACAATTGGCACACGTATTCAAAGCTGTTCCGCATCAGATTTAAATGTTCAAGATGTTTCATCCGATAGTGAAAGTGAATCAGCGCTATCCACAAGCTACGGCTTTCAACGTGAAAAAGCTTATTCTTGCATTAAATTAAATCAACAACAAAATAGAAAACAACCGTTGTTACCATCGAATACAGGTACAATTTACCGTCTGAAATAATAAACATCTATTATGATATTTTTATATTTTTCTTTAGATAGAAATAACGACAGTACATCTGTTCAACGTTTAAGTGCCACTACGATTACGTCTAATTTACGTCCGATAACCGCTTGTTCACTTCCCTCAAAACCCAATGACGATTGGGATCCACAAAATCCCACAGGAATGACAATATCTCGACGAAATCCGTCATGTCCTGTTATCTCATCACCTACAACATACCATAATACAATAGGCACAGGAAGACTAGAAATAAATTCAAATTCATCGAAAAAAGCAACAAATACTAAAACACAACAGAGACTTTCACGTAATCATCGGAAACAGTCATTAGCTTTAACATCACCGTCAACAACGAATGAATGGAAGCCAAGAGAAATATCGCCCGGGTCGCAAGTGCCATCGGTGTTTCAAACAACATCAGAAATGCTAGGTAAAAACATTTACATATCTAGGATTAAAAAGATGTATTGCTCTGTCCTTCCTCTCCCACTAATAATTTTAAACAAAATATAATACTAGATATTGATACACCGTTGTCAAAAAAGATTTTCTTTTACATATTAAAATTTTCCTAGACTAAGTATGCACCAGTTTCAAAACTGGTGTTTGGATATTCAAGAAAACTGTTATAACTCGGTTAGTAAGAGCCGTGCAGAGTTCTGAAATCTCTCATTTCTAGAGAAATGTTCGTTTTACATAACTTATTAATCAAAGCAATTCTTAAGCCCCGCCTCGGTCAGAAATATAGATTTTTCCATAAAAGGTCCATATTGAGCTTAGTGCAAGATTGAAGAGCCCAAGGTGCCTACTTTTAGAATCTGTATTATTCGTGCCAATAGCAAAGGTTTCTAGAGGATTTTGATCAAATCTTCTAAACGCCCTAGAAACCTGATTTTTCTGAAATTCTGCTATTTCAATGAAATGACGAAATAAAAAAGGTTTCGAGTGACTCCAGTTCGTAGAGTAAACATTTATGGTTAAAATGAGATGCCTCCCAGCACCGAACAATGCTGTGATAAAAAATTATGACAGTTTTATTAAGAGCCCTAAAACGTATGTCGTACACTAGCGCCACTATATCTCAAAAGCGACTTTTTCCTACGTGATAAACACTATCGGAAAGATTTCTCCGTCAAATTAAGCGCTAGAAAGCTCGGTTTGCTCTTAAATTGAAGCTAAGACATATAGAAACAGCGTAACAGAGCCCGATTTTTGATTTAGGTCGTTATTCTTTTACGTTGTTCAAAGTTATACGCCAGTTTTTGCGCTTTTTCGAAATTTTCAAGCGAAGCCCTTCAGAAAATAAAACCAAGAAAAAACTCAAAAATTCGGCTCTGTTACGTCGTTACTCTGCCTTCATTTTATATTTTAAAACTAGTCTGCTCTCCAGCTATTTTCTGAGAGGAGAAATCTGCCGGACGGTACTCAATACTATTGATCGGTAAGTTAATACTGTTGAAAATATGATCAATTCATATAATATGATCTCGAACTGATGTATACCTGGTCAAGGCATATTTTTTTACTGTCCAACTTCATCTGATGATTTCATCATTTTTTTGTAGGAATTTATCCTCCAACAGATTCTATGTCTCCGTTTCGCGGTGACTCTAACCGTCGTTCTCATTCAACAGCCAAATCTCCATCATCATCAATTATGATCACCGATGAAAATCGTCGTAATTTTATTTCACTTGCTATTTCTCGTACTCATCAACAGAATCAATCGTGTCTCATCGGTGAACATTATCTTCCATCGTCAAGTATCGTCGCTATAACCGAGGATATATTTATCGGTACTCTTCGTTCACTTCAAAACGAACGTCAACTATGTAAATTAGCTATTGACTATCTCATTGATGCATCAAATATGCGACCGGATGAAATTGCACGAAAATCAACAGTTGGTAGTAAACTTCCGTGTACATGTGATCAACAACATTCCCGTTGTATACTCACTGTAGAATATATTGAAAGTCAAAAAAAGACAAAATATTTACATCATCTATTTGATGAAATTAACAAATTTATTACAAAATCTAAATTGAATGGAAAAAAAGTTTTAATTTATGGGTATGATTATTCAGTATTTATCAGTGTGATTGCTATGCAATATCTTATGTGCGATTGTGAATACACATTGTCACAAGCATTTGAACATGTTATGAGATTGATTCCGGGCGCACAGTCACCTGATTTAGATAAAACATTTTATCAATATTTAAAACAATTGGATGCCTATTTACAGCGGGATTCATTTCCAAAACAATTCAACGATCTACGCTCGAAACGTGATAAATCCTCATCACCATCATCGACACTATGTGATATTTCACCGATGACGTCTTCAGTTGTTTCATCGGCTACAACATCATTTACATCTTATTCAGCCGGTGTTGGTAGTACGAGAACAGCCTGGGATAGTTAATTTTTTTTATTTATCTTTAGTTGTAATTATTTGTCCTGAACAAAATAAATTTAACTTCTGGCATTATCCTTTGGTCTAATTAAGAAAACAGGATATAATTTATCCTCTATTTTACTCAAGTGAAAATACAGAGGGACGTATTTTCTACTCTAGTGAAAATATAAAGTGATATTTGAATACATATGACTTTAAGCTAGATATAAGCCATCTTTTACTTAACGTAGAAACAATGAGTAAATACAGGTATAAAGATTACAGATGAATAGTCTGTAAGATAGTAGTAATAGAAAACAATGTACTTTGAATAAAATTTATGTGAAAAACTTTGATAAATGGATAACAAACTTTTCATTGTAGCTCTTTATTTCAGGGATGATCATACCGTTTATATAATTCGTGAAAAACATAGAAAAGATTTCATATTCGTATCTACAATTAATTGCATCCTCTCCCCCTCTGATTAAAAAACCCTGATCGTCAATTAAAACACTGTATGTTATTACTCTGAGGGTTTTTTATAATATAATCTAGGTAAAAGAGTATTTTCTAATTAAAGCTGTAGTTAGTACAAAACTTTAATCCTGTACTTGAATCACCGATTTTTTATCGACCTGTTGCTGATTTCTGATTGGTCGATAAACGGTTGATTCGATCCAATTCCAATGTTTCAATCGGTTAAGACTCTGACTAAATCTACAGATACCCGCTGGAGGACTCTAGTAGAAGATATGTAAAAATTATAACGACCAACTAAAATGATTAGAAATGATTTAGAATTACCGTATTATTTCAAAGTCGTTATTATACCGAGAGCGATAAACGATCAAAATAATCTGCAATTAATTGATTTTGATGATGTACCAGTTATGAAGATGAATAAGAATGAATCGTTTAAAAAAACAGAAATTAATGTCACTGATTCTATTAAAACAGTACAAAACAGGAAATGAGTATGATCAGTGCAATGAACCACATATTGAACTATAAAGAGTTAAGGTTAGTAATAAAAGTTTTATTTCGTTAATAAAAGAACAAAAAAATTTCGAATGGAAAATTTAACCTTATTCCTCATTTGTTTTATTACTATTAAATTATTCATTATCCTAATATGTTTACTTGTTTTCTGCGCCATCATTCCGTTCATAATTAAAAAAACGATTCATCAAGTAGACATTTCATTTTAATCGGTATTAATTGATCATGTACAAACACATTCATTTTATATCAATTTAAATTTAGAATTGACGAATACGGGAACAATATCAGCAAAAATTGAATCAATGTCACTGATAATACAAGTATGGAATAAAAATTCAAGCCAATATAATACAACTAGTTTAATAAAACGTCAACATCAATACAAATAACAGGAGATGAATTAACAATATTTAACATTGATACCCTGTTTACTGTAACAGATATCAATAATCTTAATTTATTTGTCAAAGATTTAATATTTGAAAAGGGTATTCAATGGCATTTATCAGCCAAAACAAATGTATAATCAATTAGTTTACATATGCTACATTACGCAAATATATCATTTGAAAAAGATGTTACAATTCAAGCGTTAAACAAATTAAAAGATGTACAATTAAAATCATTTAATCTGAAAAAAACAACAGAAACAAATATTATTTTAGATTTAACAATACAAATTTTTAATCCATCAATCTTCATCATAGATTTGGACGAGATCAGCGATGATCTTAATGAGATGAAGCACAAATAATTTTCAAATTTTTCTGGTTTAGATAAATTGATGTTTAATCCAGAATTCATATCTAGACAAAGTGGTATCGTTCAACCGATAATTTGATACAGTTCGAAGGTCAATTGAAACCAGATATGCCTGATGATACGTTCGCTATACAAAAATTAATTTTAAATTTTCTTACTAATAAATCATCAGACACTCATACAATTTGCCGGTGCTCAAGCTACATTTTAATTTCTACTGGCTAATGGACTAAACAGATTATCGTTAGCAACTATTTTACCCCTATTTCAATTGGAATTGATTGGATCTCTACAATTTACATCATTGAGACTTGTTCCATCTGATATTGATACAAATGTGAAATTATCAGGAACAATCACTGTTAAAATTGACTCACCATTTGGAAAAAAATTTCCATTGAACATTCAAACATTGGATATGAATACACCACTAAACTTTGAACATAAACAGATTGAAACGTTGAATATTGCTGATGCAGCGGTTCAAACATTATCCCCATTATCCGTCACATATCAAACAACATTTAATGATGTGCAAATGTCTGTTATAAATCTTGATGTTTATTAATCATTTGCAAAAAATTTTATTATATCAAATAATTCAAATCCAATTTGGTTTACACTAACGGGTACATCTAATATTTCGGGTACGTTTCCATTGGGACATTTAGATGGTACCGATATTAAAGTAAATAATCAAGTAGAATTAATAGAATTAAATAAATTTAATGATATTCAAGTTGAAGAAATAACGATTATAGGTGATCATCCATTAGTTGACAAGAGTATTTATTCACAATCAATGTTAAAATAATAAATTCTGGTATTACCACTGTTTCATTACAAAATTTCACATTAAACATAATGACTATAAACGATATTAGTTTAGGTCAAATTCATGTTGATGTTCTTACATTAGAATCTGGTTCAAATAATTTACAAATGAATAGTTCTATTTTATTAAATTCGACAGATTTAAATGAGACCGGAACATTTTTTTTCTAATTATCTAAATGGTTACACACAAATTGCTATTCTCAGTGTTATATTCAATAATCATACATTAACAGCATGAAATTTAACTGTCAATGATTTAAAAATGATATCTTGTATTTCACAACGTTAATTAAATCAATCAATATTAGTTTATTTGGTTTAAAATTTAATGAAAAAACAAAGGATGGCGATGTAAGAGGTCGAATTGGAGCCAATTTATAAATACCATCAAATATTCAAATATCATTAAATATTCTATTAACAAATATTGACTTTAAACTTGATATTAAACAATCAATAAATAAATTTTTTAGTGTAGCATCAATGAAATTTAATAAACAATTAGTCAATCATTCTTTAGATAATAAATTAGAAATGGAATTTGTATCGAAACCTTTGACTATTTTAGATTATCATGCATTTCAGCAATTTTCCGCTACTCTGTTATTTACACCGAATGTGAAGGTGATGATAAATGGAAGTGCTGAACCAATAGCTATAACAAATATGGGCATATTAACATTAAATAATATTCTCATTGTTGATGAACTTAGTCTCATTGGTTTTAATCAATTTCAAGCAACAAATGGTTTGATATTGTTACTTAAAATTCCTAATTTAGATATTCTCGAATCAAATTAAAATTCAGAATTTTAAGTATTCAAACAATACTTTCAAATCCATCGAATGTCTGTCTGATAAATGCTGGTAGTTTACAATTGGAAATGTACTCAAATACGATAAGATTAGGAAAAATTTTAATTGAAAATTTTCATCTTGAACCTTATCTAATAGAAACAAATGTAACAGCAAATGAATAATTTCAATTATCGAAAATAAATATTACAAAAATTACAAAAATCAATTGAAAATTTTTTTATCTCAAAAATGATTTCAGGACAAACAAATGTCGTACAATTAAACGGAAATTTTTCGTGAAAGTGTTCCCAGCAACAATCCAACTCTATAATCCATTTAATATTAACATGATCATTAGTGCACTATCAATGAAAGTATTTAACGGTCTCACAGTTAATGAAACACAATTAATCGGTTCGACCAGTGAAGGTTTATCAATGAATCCAATTATAGTTCCAGGAAAACAGGAAACTATCTTATCGTCATTAAATGTGACATTGAATATTAGTTCTGTTGCTGTTGTTTCATTTGCTCAACTCATAGCTGGGACAGCCAAATTAAACTTATTTGGAACAATTAATATGACTATTGGAGATATATTGAATGATTTAATATTGAACGATTTGTCCCTAATCGCAATAGATATTCCAGCTTCATCAACATCGTAGTAGAATGCATTCTGGTTAGAAGATAACAATGTCCGATCTTTGTGATTTTTATCACACTAGCTAAAATATAAAGGATTACCACGACGAACAATAGGGATATTTGTTTATTCTCTTCAAACGTTGTAATGGATTATCAACAGCATCTTTTTGCTTATTTTCTCATACTAATCACCACGATTCGATAAACCTTTGTATTGATCAATAGTAAAAAAAGGGAAAAATAAAATTTAACGTTTCATTCAATGGTTTAGCTAGTCATACATCCATCGACAGATTCAAGTATTAATTCGTAAATTTGTAGATAAACAGATCATACTATCGGAAAAGAATTTACATTGAAAACTCAGACAAATAATGATTAAGAAGCTGACTTAACTTATGAAATTAAGCGTTGGTTTTACAGAGATACACGTGTAGAAAAAACGTGCTGTCCCTTGAAAATACAGAAAAACTTGATATTTGGGAGATAAACAGAATATAAACATATAAAGTATTTGAACCATTAGAATCTTAACCAGATGTAATATGTAATATTGACAAATAAAGATGTATTACCATTTAAAGTGAAAAATCACAGCCTCTTTTGTGATTTGGTTTACATAGACCGAGATATAAGGTAAAAAATAACTTTAACGTCAGTAATCCTCTAATGTTCCCTTGTATTTGTTTGATTATTTTAATTATTTCGGTCCTATTTCAACCGAACAAATTGAAATGGGATCGTGAAACATCAAGCAGCTTTCTTTTTTCCCTCACTGATCTACATATGTAGCAATTCTTCTCATACTCTCTATGGAGAAATTTCTTTTTTTCTTCTATGTTTACATGAACAATATTTTCACTACACATACTCTTTGGCGTATAATCTTACCTTTCTTTTCATTTTATTCTCTAGTATCAGAAAAGCACTTTTTCAGACGCCTCAATCAGCAGGGCTTACCATAAGGTTAAGTTCGAATATTAGCTAAATGAAGAGTATTTTTCTCAAAACTCATATTCACCACGTTTTTTGCTTTTTCTGAAAGTAAAGATTGTTACGAGATTCAAGAGGGTCATTATTCTATGGTAGCTTTTTCTGAGTTTTTTCTGATGTTCGACTTTTAAAACTGGCTTTGTTTGATGTACACAGCAATATCTCTAAAATCGCAAAAAGGGTATTTTGAAGATTTCGATTATGAAAATTATTTTTTAATTCAAGAAATCTGAAATTTGAAAAAACCTAGATCTTTCTAATTATTAACGTAATTCCTGGATCTGTGATCCGCAACTTAATTTCTAAGATGTTGACAGACAAGTAGTATCATTCTGACTAGAGATCTGGCAAAAAAAAATATTATATAGTCGTTCAAGAAGTTAAAGAATGGCAGCTAATCAGACTAGTTATGGGTGCCTATACTTTGCAAGTCTAGTTTTTTTACTTATAAACAGCAGAATTTGTAAGAACGATATAAATAAGACTATCTTCTTGTAATAACTATTTAAAAGTATCGTCTTCGTTAGCAACTTATCTCCGTAAGTATAAATTCGATCTCGATCAAACTTTCCGCAAATATGGACCATCCAAAAGTATGATGACAAATTTTTCTGGTCCATCTGACTCTGTTCGCACGATGCCACTACAACAGGGGCAAAATGAGGCACTTGCCGTTGCAAAGGTTTCTCTCTGATTAAGCGACGGAGAGCTTGGGTTGTCTTAAAATGTCAGAAATATATACGAGAGCGGATCAGAACTTCCACTCATGCTCTACTGCCGTGAAAACGTCGCTGTATTTCAACTCATGTTCAACGAACCACAACTGTTACTCCCAACTACTCATTACATACTTTGGCACTCGACCAAAAGCAATTTTAATTTAACGATCGTTGACAGCTTCCTAAACCACTTCCGTAACAGTTGTTTCGCCATAAATGGCTCCTCAGCGTATAACAAAGAAAATTTTGAATTACAACAATCATCTCAAAATTGGATAAAGGACAAAAACGATTTATTATCAAGAATATTACTTGGAACAGATATGCCGTTCTTGCCACCTTCAACGCTCGATAAATCTCAGTATGACTCCTTATCTGGAATTGTCTCTTGTGCACAACTTGTCGTCGACACTACAGGGCATAAACACTTAAACACCACAAAAGTGATTGACAGTTTAAATTAGAACATTAGAAGATTATACAATATTGAGTAACTCCTTTTTTTTGTGAAACTTTTTTTCATAAACTTTTGTGGCGTGTAAAATAAATATAGAAAACTATGTGTCAGGAATAGAAGAAAAATATATTATGAATAAAAAGCAGGTTTTGAACTTACCAAAAATCTAACTTTTTTCACCCAGAAAAATGTTTCAGCTAAGTTTGAGAAAATATTCAGGAAAATACTTTTCTTAGACTAAAGTTTAAATTTAGATTTCATCTATATCGTCTAAACTTATATAAAACACTTTATTTCCTGTGAAAACAGACTTTATCCACGAAATTAGAAATGCGTTTTTTGCTACCTTCGCCTCTTGTTTCCCAATTTTCGTCATGTCGTGATACTTTTTTTCAACAGTTTTATTTGGATCAGATGGCACTTTATTACGGTTTTCCGAACACCCTCACTTTGAAACGTCTATAACTCCGGAAAAATAAGTCCTAGAAGCCTGAAGTTTTTTTCATAACCTCAGTTTTCGACAAGGAGTCGAATGATGCAATAAAAAAGTATAGGTTAATTTCAGCATAAAATTCCTTTTCTTCATAGGCTCACGAAACATCTCTTAAGAAAACGAAGAATTTTAATTTCCACTTTTTGTGTTCTGGTTTTAAACATCTAAAGTTCGACATCTAAGATTATAGGGTGAGAATAAGTGTCTGAGACTTGCCAATTTCGAGCAGTCCGATACCTTTTCTATAGCTGACAAGCGATGATAGTCGCATATCCTTTTACAAGTCATTAACCACAACTTCAGACAAAATCTATCGTAACGCAGGTTTTTCGCCCACTTTCTCTAGCTTCTAATACACTCTTACTAACCACGCATCAGCTGTCTAACAAGTTAAAGAGAATGTTGCACATCACAACGTAGATGTTGTTGTATGGTTGAGTCGAAGTACATGAACATAAGTAACGTCTCAAGATGATTACACGACTCGATGGCGCCGAAATTCGAACGCAGTAGTTTTAAAGTACGTGACGAAGATTAGAACCAACAAATCAGACTTATTTTCGACTTAAAGTTTCACTTATTTTTTGCCAGAACTCGACGAAGGTTATAGATATAAAAGCGAAATATTTATGACAATCATACTTTATCACTGCTGATATTGCGGGGAAATTTTGTTAATATCAGACGTAATAAGGCGAAAATATTTCTAGAATAAAGGATTGTATTTTAACAACCTAAAAATATAATTAAACGTCCATTTTTCTACGATACCGATATGTATGCTCAAAACACCTATTATTAGTTTTAGTAGTTCTATTTGTTTTTGTTTGTCTATATTCTCTTTTGAGTATACATCTCAACTCAAAAAAAATACAAAAGAATATTCCATCAATAACACAAAAAACGTTGAACGAGTTTCATCACTGAAAATAAATTAGAAGAGGTGTCTTCCTCCTCTCCCCGTGTTATTACTAATGGCATAAATGAAGAAAAAAATGTATTTTACGCACTGTTGATATTTGCATATTATTTTGTTTTTTTACCGAGGCAGTTGTCTCTATGTACAGTACAACAACTAAATATGATATATATGCATTAGAAAAAACGAAAAATTGTGAAAAGACTTAGTAAAACACGCAAAAATGTCGAGTAAGCGTTTTTATAATTATGATGTCGATAGTGGATATTCAACCAGAGCGATCATCGTTATTGTTATCGGCGTACTTCTTGGAATATCAGTATTAATTTCATTTACAGTACTGATTCTATGTTTAAGAAAACGAAATCAACGTCGTCTTACATACCCTGGCTTTGTTCTACAGCAGCACCCAAACCTCAATGGAGGATATTACATAAATTCGCCGCCAATAAGTGTCATCAATCCCCATTATCCATCACCACAATCTCAACCGCCACCTTACACAACATCTTTATCGTCACCGGATACGAAATATCCAACTTCACTCCCAGCACCATAATGATCATGTATCAACGTATTAAATAATGGGATACTGAATGATGATAACATTTGTTAGAATAAACTTTGCACAATACGATGTCACATATGTATCGTCTACTGTACTATAAAAAAGTGTTGTTCGTTAAAATGCTCTTTTATATACTTTGTGATGAGAATATATATTTTAATCGTGACCAAGTCATTTACTGTAAATTTTTCTCACAATAAACTTCTTTTTATTTTCAAAAGTAATTCGTTATCCACTTCTACTCAATAGATTGGGATTTACAACTTGGCTTCTTCATTGTAACATCCAACTTTCATCCGTAAACGCAACTTTTTTGTCGTTTTCTCACTTTTGCTACTTTCGATCCTTTAACAGAACAACAACAGAATTGTCATGTTTCTGAAACACACTCTATAAATGTTTACTAAGATAGCTTTAGCAATAAATCATATTAAATGAACTTTTCCGTCATTTGCAGAACAATCGAGAAGATAGCAAAGCACAAAATTATGTACAAGATTGAATAGTGTAATTCTATATGGCGCCCTCTGAATTAGTTTGAAAGACTACTTCATCAAAACTAGAAACAAAAAAAAGGTCTTAAAGAAGATCAGCCAGATAAGTATATCTTTATTTGATACGGCTGGCCAGAAACACCCAAAACATGATCGATGCATGCCTTAGCCAAATGGTATTATTACGACTAATTTTTCACAAAACAAGTGTTGACTTTGTCAAAAAATATGTTGCATCTAATTTCTGACTGCTTCACAGGAATTCTACCATCATTAAAAGTAGTAAAACAAGAAGTGCTAACTGAATACATCAACCATACAGCAATTCTCTCAAAAACGTACCAGGGTTTAGATCGACTTCATCCGAATCATTAAATGCTACCAGGGCTAATAAAACTCGAGCTCCTGATTTCGAATATCACGTTCAAAAAATTTTAAAACAACGGCGTGGTATTCTTTTGTGTCTAAGGGATCCCATTTTCCAGCAAAACGGACATTTTCATCACTTTTTACTGAAACATTTTGGCAAACAAAAGCCACAGGATTCTCACCTTTTTGGGAGTGCTCAAACAAGGACGAAACCTGTTTTTCTGATAGCTCATGTCGAGCGTATTAAAATGTATGTCAGCTCCCGCTCTATAATCCAGCGGAATAGTGCAGCACGCAGTCAAACTTTGAAAAATGAATACGGCCTTTAAGAGTTGGCTGTTTTCTGTGGTTAAACGTTTTTGAATCTCAATGATAACCACTTGATTGGATAGAGCTTGAAACGACGCGTCGATCGCATATCTTGTTGTCTTGTTTTGACTTGATTTCGTGAGGAAAATATGGTTAACAAAACAAGGCTGTATTTCGAAAAAAACGATTTTTTTTAAAACTTCAAGACTCTTCTTTATGTTTAAAATTTTTTTGTCCGTTAGAGATTCTGTAGCCCTACATATATAGATCCTAATCTGGCACTTCCAGCTCAAAAAATGTTTCGGTGAAGAATGATGTAAAGCTGGAAAATGGGACATCCTAGGCACGAAAGAGTACCACGCCCTTGTTTTAAAATTTGTTGAACGTACCCTAGAGAACGTACTTGGTGCAAGTACTTGATTACCTGCTAAGTACTTGCCAATGATCGAAATACTTGCCTTATTGCTAAGAAGTACTTTCTGAAAGTACTTGCCAAGTAAGGACAAGTACTTACAAATAAATTTACTTCTGGAAAAAAGGCAAGTACCGGCTTCATTACGAAGTACTTGGCCCCAAGTACGTTCTCTAGGGTGATATTCGAAATCAGGAGCTCGGGTTGTATTAGTCCTGGTAGTATTTAATAATTCGGATGAAGTCGTTGTAAACTCTGGTGCGTTTTCGAAAGAATTATCCATCAAAAACAACGGAGAAATTAATATTAAATCCTGAAGATGTTTGAAAAAAGTTAAAATATTTCTGAACTTGAAGTGCACTTCTGACTTATGTGCTCTTGTCTAATAGTTAGTTTCCTTTCCTTGTTTTCTTTTTTTTAGGGACCTCCGTTCTATCTGAGTCTGACTGTAGATAGTCTCGTCAATGTTCACTCTGACTGATCTTTAAAAATGGTCAACAAAAATTATCAGCTGAGCAGACTATGTAATTTGCATTAGCTTTGAAAGTAAAGTAAATTAATGATGTTGATGCAGACATTTAAGAATTCAAATTCATGATTAAAATACTTTATTAAAGTCAACAAACTTTTTTTTTTTAGTGTTAGCCATCAAAGGTGGGCGATCGACGAGTCGCGTCTGATAATGAATAAAGATGCATAAATAAATAAAAAAGGAGAAATAACATTGACTTGTTATTCGATCTTGAGATTTTGTTGCAATATTCATCACCTCGAAAGTTAGTAAAAGCTCTAGCAGATTGTTTTCAGTTTTCTTGCTTACTTTTCCCAATGAACATAAACATAAAAACTATAGATGTTTCTTGTAAAACTGATGTTTTTTGTGTGTTATACTTATTTCTGGACGCATGAAGAATGATTTGATTTGACTTTGTTTATGCTATTTGTACAAAGTATATTCCACCATTTTTTAGTTCATTGCACAGTAGTTTAGCAAAAGCTGCAGAATAGCGTAGTGCTGTGCAGTTGAGTGATTCTTGGGCACAGTCATCTTTAGAACCTCAGTGATCTATCTCATTCGAAAGAGTGTAAAATTTTGATCCAGATAATGTTCCGATAAAACTTTAAGAAAATCAGCACTGTTTCAGAGGTGAGTTTGATAGTATTGGGCATTTGAAAATAAAATATTTTTGCATTTTTTCTTTTAATATCAATTTTCCGTTGCGATCGTTGTTTTTGATAGATAATTCTTTCGAAAATGTACCAGAGTTTACATCGACTTCATCCGAATCGTTAAATACTACCAGGACTAATACAATTCGAGCTTCTTATTTCGAATATCAAGTTCAACAAATATCAGCGTGGTACTCTTTCGTACCTAGGATGTCCCATTTTCCAGCTTTTCATCATTCTTTATCGAAACATTTTTTGAGCTGAAAGTGCCAGATTAGAATCTATATATGTAGGACTACAGAATCTCTAATCGTGCGTTAAAGATTTGTTCTTCATCCGAAATCGACAATGAGCTAAAATATTTAGAAGATTCACTAATAACGAATGGCTATCCAAAGACTTTGGTTATCGGAAAAGTTAAATATGCTAAAAATCAAGATAAATACACTTTACAGTCGAATTCAACATCATCCATTCTCAAACAAAAAGTTGAAATGTATCTGACGTTAACACATTTTGGGAAGGACATAATTCATCTAAGTAAAAGAATGAAACAAATCATTGAAAAGGTTTATCCAAAATTGAAAATAAAACTGGCCTATAAAAGTTGCTTAACGTTACTCAAATTATTAATGTATTATGACTTTTTTTCAGTTTTTTCACTAATCCTAGAAATGAGGAGAATAAAATGTTATTATTTGGTAAATCATTGAAGTTCCAAACTTCGGTAACCATCCACATTATTTTCAATAAATTCTGTGGTGTCGCCAACATTTAATTTGTTAATTGAAATTGTTGTGGAATCAGAGGAGTTCACAACATTTCTCAACTAGCCTGGCTGCGAAGGGAGGCGTGCGCATTTTCTTGAATTTAGAAATATGATTTCTAGAGATCTTTGGAGGATGTCATGGAAGGCCGTTCGCAGATAGAAGTTTCTAAAGTCAAGCGACAGAGCGAATGCAGTCGAGTATTACCTTATTTTGTAAAATCATCTAAGAAACAACAGTCTTCTATTGGGGCAACATTGTCAGATTTCTTTTGCCTCCGTTTGATGACTTTTGAGAAATAGTATGACTCATCATTCCCTACTGTCCCCTCTCTATTTTATCGATGATCAATAAAAAAGAGTTTCCTTTTCCTTTTTTTCGGGATCTCCAATGGAACTTACATTTTGTTTCTTGTCATGAAGTAAAATGAATACGATTTTATGTCGGATTCTTTTCGTATAGAAAAAAATTATCAGTTTTATTTACAACAAGAACAACAACAGGAATACACAGATTTACCGAACAAAGTGCTTTTTCAGTTGCGTGTTTTATATTATATAAAACACGCAACTAGTAACAATAACGAAAAACTCTGATTTAAAGATAGAAAAACATCCTTGACTAGAAGAAAAAACAACAACAACACACACACACACGCGCGCACCGGTTAAATAAATTTGGCTAAGAGAAGATTATTTAGTGGTGATTATCTTAGCATCATCACTGCCAAAAATGAAGTTAAGAAAAAAAAGATTTTCTTATTCATATTTAACGGTCACTGTTTGTGGAGTTGTCGTAGTAGTGGACATATCTGTTAGAGAAGAATATGGTGTGTTATTATTATTTTGTTGATTTGATGTCACAATTATCGAAGTTCCTATTGTGTTGTTTTTATTATTATTATTATGAACGTGTTGCGCATGAGAAGAAGATGGCCCTTTTAATTCACGCCGTGCTTGAACACATAGATTTGATATAGCTGCCTTAATTTTTGAAGTTTCAATTGGATGTAAAGGATGTTTGGAACGAACAAAGGCTATAAACAGAGGAAAATAATAAGAGTTAAGAGAATATAGGTAAAAATACTAATTTGAGAAAACTTTCTACAGTTTGCTTCGACATCAGAAAACGGAAATGGCAGTTCTCGTCTTTTTTCTTATTTTTGGACACATCATTGTTGGTAGTATAAGACAAATCTCAACTTACCAATAATATCATTCATTAATTCATTGTCTATTTTCGATGCTGACATATTGGCCAAATCTTCTTTTGAAAATAGTCGACGTACAATTTGTCTTGCTGTATTCGACGGTGTATCACGTACGCATGACCGCAATGAATGCGGTGATAATGGAATCTTCTTAGCACAAAAAAGAAAAATATGACTCTACGATCAGTGATATAAAGAAAAATACTTACGCCCGTTGGTCCGCCACCTTCTTTCAACAATTCAACTTTAGCTAATACAGTACGAAGCCATTGTTCCGTTTCTGGTGGTGGAACAGCTAAAAAAATCAACTAATAATTTGTTTTAATCAAAGAAAATTACTGATTGCGGCTGATATAAAGAATATTGCAAAGGAGTAGCAGTTTCATGTTAGTTACTATGATTTCAACAAATATGGCATACTTACGAACAGTTCTTTTACATAGATCATGTTCTTTGGCTAATATTGAATATTTTGTTTTCAGATTTTCGTATCTCCCTAATAAATCAAAATATTTTTGTTTATAATCATTTTCTTCTGTTACGTTTTCGATTATATTGATATTATTCGATAGATTATCTGGATATTTACGTTTACGATCAATTGAATTTAACACTGTAAAAGTAAAAATAGCAGATACAGTGTTAGAAATTAATAAACCAAAATAATTTTGAAAGGTATCGCGTATCTCTGACAGAAGTGTTTCTCGGCTAAGTATACACATGACTTAGAAATATAACTATTTATGAAGATTTCCATGTATATTTCTCAAAAAAGTTGACCGCTTGCTAAACGCAACTTGCGTTATAAAACGCTACTAACTAGATCAGGCTGCTTCTTTTGTGATGTTACTTAAGAAAAAATTTTCTGGCCAGATCCGCCTCGGCACGAATGCTCTTAAGTATTTTCTAGCACGACCCGCACGGATCTGTGGTTGAGAATGTTAAGAGGTAACTGTGTTTCTACAATCTGTCAACTGATCGGCATATAATTCATGTTTTTAACAGAAAAAAATCGTTTTTGACATACCAACACATTGTTGAGTACCGACTTGATTCGCGATTGTTTTTCTCATGTCTGTAATGAAATATTCTAACGATTGTTCAGGAATATTCAAAGGATTCGATCGCATTTCAGTCATCATCGTTGTCTAAATTATAAAAAAAAAAAAACAAGACTAAAAATGAAAACGTAGTAAACGATTCTAGGTCAGATCGCTGTGAAGATGTTATACACAGAAATTCTTTTTCTCATTCGTAGTTGCTATGTACATTCTCAGAATTTTAACATGTCCAATCTAAACTCGTTCTTCTCTTGTTATGTAGCCTAGAAACTAGACGTTATTCAAAAACTAATATAATTCTTCGGACGAATGCTTGTTCAAATACGTTTGTTCATGTCATCATGTCGGACAAATGAGATACAGCGATATTTTAGACAGCATGTACTCATTTTTAAATACCACTATTCATTTTGTTTACCGGATGATAGGTGGATAAACTAATTTTATTATCTTGTTGATGTTGATTCTCGTGTCTTGCGCCACCTCCAATATCATTTGAATAAACACTTGTTGCTTCGACCATAACACAAAAGATCGACCACAAACATAAATTAACAACCACAATAATGCAAAAGCCTAAAACAGAAACAAAACTTTCGTTCAATAAAACATATAGAAAAATTACACTAGAAGTTTGGAAGCGATCCATACTATTGAGAAATATGTTACTAACAATATTATCACTTCTCGGGTTGTCAAGAGCGAAATGAAAGCTCGGAACAAAAGTAGAAGGAAAAATGAAGGAGAAACTAGAAGATCAGTCTTTTTCTGAGATTAATATAGATAAAGAGCATTGCATACTATTCTTGCTTGATGTACATCTTTTTTCGTTGATAAATCCCTTGTTCTCAAGTAAAAACAGAATCTCACATGAATTGAAGTCGCAAATAGTTGACACAATAAACTATAAACGTAGTCGAGCCGTTGTCAACATGAGCTGATGTATTCGATTAATTTCGAGTGTCGTATCCGACATCTCGAGTATTTATCAATGAAAAAAAGTCTTTTTTCATAACTCCGATAGTTGTTGACCTTTTGTCTTTCAAGTGTCATGTCGAACTACTTGTAAAAATAGAGGTGTATCATGTCCTTTAACAAAAAGTAAGACTAGTTAAAAGCTGGAATGATAAGGAGCTTTGTTTCTAGCGCATTGGTATATCATCTGTGGTTTTAGTTTAAAAACAGCGTACCATTCTTATTTAAATCAATTCTCTTTTTATTAAGGTGAACATTTCTTAGATTGTAATAGTTGCGCAGTACCCACAGTTAAAAGAACGAAGAGAAATATTTATTATTTATACATACAAATGTTCCTTGTGTGAAGCACAATAGTCAAACCGATGCAGACATTACTTGTGCTAAGTTGTGTGAATTGTTTCTTAATGAACGATGTAACGTGTGTGTGTACTCGCGTATGTATAGAGGTAACGAAACAGAATTGACAGAATAGGATGAGAAGAAAATATGGCTGTAGAAAGGAAAAAATAATACACATACACAACGAATTATATAGCTATTGCCTTAACAATGACGAAAGAAAAGAACGGAACAAGAAAAAGACAAAGGACACATGAGAGAAACGAACATATGGCATTTTCATTCCTTGTAGACATCAAAGACGCTTAGGAGCGGGCAATGGTAAGGATCTGGTCTTCGAGATCGTACTATAGGAGGGATTTCTAACAAACATCCAGATGAGTGACAAGAGAAGGATCAAAATTTGAGGCTTTTTCTGATACTTTGTGAAAAGTCGATTCCTCTCGCTCTAAAAAATAATCATGCATTCTAATCACTAAATCAGTCGAACTTGAAGTTATATTCAACTTCATTCTGCTTCAGTAGAGTTGCGATACTGCTTTCTAACATCACGTCGACAATCATGCTTAAGATGCAAGTTCTGTGATGCCGCCACTTTCTGTGCATGATGCAGCATAACTATAACCTAACAATTGCATTGATCCTACGTTTTTTGATATCTTTATTCTGAAGGAATTCTGCTTCTAAATAGGACAAGTGTTCTAAAAGATTTTTTTCTACCTCAATGTAGACTCCACCAGTATTTTCAGTAAATAACATATTTTGCAGCTGAGACGCTTGCATTGGTCTATTTTACACCCATTCAAAATATCATAATCAGATATTGTAACTGCATGACGTTCTAGATGAAAATTTATTTGTTTATTTTCAACTTTTCTAATTTCATTCATTTCTGTTGACTGCTTTTATTCAAATTTGAAGTTAAGCTTTTGAAATGGTTTAGGTAATTCGTATAAAGTCTTTTGCTCTTTAATGCTAACAGTTCAGTTAATCAAGCTAATAAGAAACGAAGAATGAATACATTCTCTAGATTATTTAGAAAAGTCTATTTCTTACTGCACAACATAAAGGGTCTAGCTTAGCAAATTTAATAAAAGTGCAAGCCATCTTTTATAACAGCATTCTATTCACTTTTTTCATGTTTATACGTCTGGGAGATTTCGAATTACATTGTGTTTTACAGTCACTTTCTCGTTACAGAGAAGCTCAGCCTTGAAACCTTGAATTGGTCCTTACTACGCATGCAGTCTTCGAAACTACTTTTCTGTAACTTTTCTCTCAACCAAGTTAAGAATATATACGTCAAACATCACCGGAACAATTCGGTGATAAACGTTCTAGTAGGCGCGGGACAGTTCCAGTTCAACAAGAACTGAACTGGTAATCAGTTCTTTCGACCAGTTCTTAGGAACTATAGGAACTGGAACTGTCACAACCCTAGTATCTAGAGAGAAGATAAATTCATTGTCAGAATTATCAAAATCATTTGAAGATTTCTTAGTGCGTCACTCGTATTTTAGCACTAATAAGTTTTTCATTCTAGCTCGAATAACTTTAAGCAGGAAAACATAGTAGTTAAAATCAACGCCAAATATTACAGCCTGTTTCTGTTTTAGATCTCAAATTGGTCTTGAATCTTTAATTGTAAAATGGCTGCTACAAAGGATTCTGGTAAAGTTGCTCAACAACAAGAAACTCAAGAGTTTAAAATTCGTATAACTTTAACATCACGTAATGTGAAATCATTAGAAAAAGTATGTGCCGATCTAATTCACAAAGCAAAAGAAGAAGAAATACGTGTCAAAGGTCCTGTTCGTATGCCAACAAAAACATTACGAATAACAACAAGAAAAACGCCGTGTGGTGAAGGTTCAAAAACATGGGATCGTTTTCAGATGCGTATTCATAAACGTGTTGTTGATTTACATTCAAAATCTGAAATTGTTAAACAAATAACTTCAATTAGTATTGAGCCGGGTGTAGATGTTGAAGTGACAGTTGCTGATTCATAGAGAAAAAATGGAACAAACAACATGAAAAATCAATTATTTTCCTGTCATTTTTTTATGTTAAAATGCATTTTTCATGTGTTCTCGTTTTTGTTATAATGAATTATTAAAACAAACAAATGTAACAGTTACAGGAAAAAATAGGAAATTTGATTTTTTATCTTTGTTTGAGCAAACAAAAGGAAGACATTCCAAAGATTAATGCGGGTTCTAGTTCTTTCAGTCTACTGTTTATTGACACATTAGAATGTACCAACAACAACAAGATCTCACGCTTTCTTCTGACGAGCAAAGTAGTAATATTGGATGAAAAAGCAACATTTTCTTGTCTGTTCACACTTAGTGAAATTAATGGTATTTTGTGTTTTGCTGCCAACCTGAAGTTTTTACTGGTCACGTCTATACTAGAGGTGTGCAGGGTACGAGTTTTTTGTACCCTGTACCCTACCCTATATAAATTTCTCATACCCTATCTTATCCTACCTTATTAGCTTTCACATCCTATCCTGTAAGCTTTAGACAGTTTACACCTTACCCTACACTTACTCTCTAAAAAAAAGGTACTCTACCGAACCTAAAAAAGGTTTAAACTTTTGCCACCATCTATATACCTTTTTAAGGTTTCGTACAGCACCCTAAATCCGTCCTTGAGAAAAAGTTGCATGGGCAGCGTTCCCTCACAAGAGTACCTCTCGCGGTGATTAAAAGCTTTTCGACTCAGACTATTTTCATCATGTAGGGAATAGTCAGTAGTGAAAAACCCCAAGTTCGTTTGGGCCCATGCGCCTTTTTGACGGAGGTATGAGTTAATTAATGAAAATGCCATTGACAATAATTAATTAATAGCTCACGACCATGATCAGCTAGGAGTCGGAAATTTACACCACAGTTGAAGATAGATGTTTTCTACTCACTGCAACACTTTTAGGCTTATAAACCAAAGCTTTTGCAAGATATGGATTTTTTATGATTTAGACAGTTTTTAGTGAAAATTCACCATTGAAAACCTAAAAACTTGTTACCACCTTTTAAGTACCTCTCTTCA